AATCAGTGCTTTAGGTGCATTCTAACATCAGAAAGTTTCTTTAGGTAAAATTGCAACTCCCTCACCTTGAAGAATTTGTGGGCCAGCAGGTRGAAGTGACTTATGTAAAGTAATACAGCTTACTAATGAGAGAGTTGGAGTTAGAGTCCATGTTTCCCAGTACCTAGTTAGTTTTGCCTTTGTGGACTTGGAATTTAGCTTTAAACATTATTTTTATAGATACTGCTCCATAAAATACTCTGTGAAAAATATTTGCCTCATTGTGTTTGTTCTATCTTGGCTTAAATTCTGTTCTGAGCTTAGGAACCCCATTACTATCTCATGGATTCRGGGGACCTGTCTGTAAAGTCATAAGACATTTTACTTTTCTGTTTCTTTCTTTTAGGTTCACTTTTTGATGTCCCTTGGATAAAAGGTCTTGAGACAGCAGCTTGTYGCACCCATAGATTCTTCAGATTTGTACTCAACTTTTGACTCTCATTTGGTCTGCAGGTGGAGAGCCTGGGGAAATTCTTTGTCTTGTGTCAGACCAGCTTTGTAATGAACTTTGTTAACATGACCTCTGCTTTCCATTAATTGTAACTTTTTACCTTTCACATTAAAAAACTACATGCTACTCCTCCCTATGCCTCTGACTGGTTTTTTGTTTTTATTTTTTATTGGTCAAAATCCCCCATTCCTGTGTGCTAATAAGCTCTTTATTAATTGGTAACTTGTAACTGTGACTCTACTTGTTTGCTTTTATTAAGTGTATTTGAAGTTAATGACAAAAGGCATTGCTGACAACCTGGGAAATGGCAGTCCTTTGTCCTTTGCCTGCAGCAGGCAATCCTTTACTAATCCTTCGATTGTTATAGGTGGTTCCGCTCTTCTGACACAATGCATTCCTGGAGCTGCACCATTAAGCACTTTGTTAGAAATTGAACTAAAGAGTGTGCTTTCACATTTACATTTGTTTCACATGCTTCAGTGGTGAAAAATGAAATGTACATTTCTTAGGCAATGTAAGCAGACTGTAAAAAGTGGGTTTTGTGTGTATGTTGATTTGTAGAGTGATATTCTCTRTAAAATCTTCACAAACATTCTCATTTTATTCTTGCAATTTTCTCAGGGGTCTTGAATTGTGGCTCAGTGGTAGAGTACTCACCTAGCACATGTGAGGCCCTGGGTTCGATCCTCAGCACCACATTAAAAAAATTAATAAAAATAGGTATTGTGTTCAACTACAACAAAAAATAAAATACTAAAAAAATTTCTGAGGGGTTCTAATCCTTAGTAGATAGGTGAGGAAATCCAAGCTAGATTTGTATTTTAAGATCAGAGTTCATGGGCTGTGGTTGTAACTCAGCGGTGGAGTGCTTGCCTAGCATGTGTGAGACACTGGGTTCAATTCTCAGCACCGCATATAAATAAATGAATAAAAGTTCATCAACATCTTAAAAAAAAATCAGAGTTCATGACAAAGCTTGGATAGAATATAGTTCTGCTGGCTGAATATAGTTCTGGGCATATTTATATGTACCATGCAAGCTACCCTGTTGCCATCATGGTGCAATAGAGTTGCCATATATGGGAAACAAGCCAAGTTGAGAGTTCCACTATTTAAAGCTAAATCCCCAAATGAGTCATGCTCCAGAGGTTCTCCAGCATGGCTACACAGTAGCACAACCTGGGGAACTCAAAATACCAATGCTTGAGTCACACCAGAATAAATTAAATCCTTGGAGTGATTTTGGAAATTAAGCTACTCAAGTGATTTCAGTGTGAAGCCATCTTGTGGGAGCAGGGCTTTTGATTCTTGCTGCTCAAAATGTAGTCACTGGTTAGCAGTGTTGACCATCACCTAGGAGTTTATCTGTAAAGGAGACACCCAGGCATTACTCTAAAACTACAGAAGCAGAATATTTAACAAAGTCCCCAGCTGATTTGTGTGCACATTAAGATTTGAGAAGAACTGAACTAGAGCAGTGGTTTTCAAGTTTCTGTGTACTTTGCAGTTACCTGGGAACTTTTGTCAAAAGCTTGGGTTAATTCTGTGTTGTCAGTTCTCTGCCTGACACAAACTCAGGTTTGAGAACATGATAGGAGTCAGCAGGCTTTTTAAAAAATGAGTGTAACTGTGTTCCAATGTAACTTGACAAATCTGGCTGTGGATCTCTGGCCCATGTGTTACCACTCTATGTATAACCAGCCTGGATCTTGGGTGGCTGGATTTGGACACTACATAAGAAAAAGTCAAAGCTCCCCCGTTTGATCAAACTACATGAAATTCCTTTCCCCATCATTTGCCTACTTTTTAAGCAGACAGGGGGCTGAGTCTTAGCAGTCAGGATTCAGGCAAGGTCCCTTKGCTGGGCTGCTGGTAACAGAAGGATACATTCACTAAAATTATGAGGGAGCASTTTTTAAATTTGCTTTAAAATTCAGTATACGGATGTCATAGCATTATCAAGAGACTTCTGGATTATTTTAGTCTAGGTATTTCAAATAAAAACATCTGAATTTGAAGACAAGTTAAATGCTGAGAATAATAACTATCAAGCAAGACATTACAATTTTCAGAGCCTTTCCAGATTAAAGTTTCTGACAATGATCTTGAGGAACATGGGACCAATACTAAATTCCCAAGTATGAGATTAACTTGTGTCTTAGAGGTGGTGATTCACCTTAACCAGTTATCATCACTTGGGAAACTCCAACTTTGGTGTGTCTTATCATCATTTGCAACATGGCAAAAACCTGCAGACTGATGTCTTGAGGTTTAAACTTAAAGGTAGCTAAGTTGTTTTCTGGCTTTTTTTTTTTGACTTGCTCTCTGGTCCTCCACTCCTTATGCACAGAAGAATTAGCTGTGGGGCTGTTCCTTCAAGCTTAAAGAAATGCATTGTTCTCCCTTCCTCAACTGGGTTTCCGATTCTTTGGTGTTATTTTAGCTGAAATGTTTTTTGAAGGAGTTGGTTTTGAGTACTACTGTATAGATGGAGGTATACCTTAGCATTTCTGGCTGCTTCTAACTCAACACTTCTATAGGGTGCTTAATTTTCTATGCTCTTGTGGGGTGGGCCAGAAGCCATCTACCACAACCACTGTACATCGTCTATTCCCTGCCATTCTTTTGCAGTGGTGGGAAACCCAGCCCTGAGCACCTCCGCCCACATACTTCCTGTCCCCTATCACATGGAAACCATCTCTCATGTTTTCTTCTCTTAGCAGCCTATACCTTTGTCCTCTTTGATCACATCCTTTCATCTTGGGCTTCAAAATACTTTTGTTATGATGGTTGGAAAATACTAGATAGGTCATTCAGGCCTCTTCCCTGGTTTGGGAGGCTCAGCAAGCTAGTGCTGGTCAGCAGCAGCTAGGAGCTCGAGTGCCAACAGCATGACTCTACTACCTTCTGGTTATCAGGTTGTGTCCCTAGGCTCTGAATGACTAGACTATAAAGTTGAGTCCTTTAAAACTACAGTTAATTCAAAAAAATCTTAATAAATATGAAAAATGGGTTTCTTCTGCAGGAGAAGACGCTTTCTTGAACAAGGATCTTAGGTGAGGGAATAAAAAAAAAAGGGGGGGACTGAAGTTTATGAAGGACCAGATGAAAAGTAATTTATTTGCTTCCATAGAATTTATAGACAAAGTTTGTGATCATACAGAACTTTTTTTTTTTTTTTGTGGTAGTAGAGAATGAACCAAGGGTACTATACCACTGAGCTATATCCCCAGTTCTTTTATATTTTTTGATTGAGTCTCATTAAGTTACCCAGGCTGGTCTTGAATTTATAATTTTGCTTCAGCCTCCCGAGTAGCTGGTATTATAGGTACATGCACCATTCTCAAATCAAACTTTTTTCAGTGGAATACAATGAATATTTTCAAATCATCAGGCAGCCTGGTGTTGGAAAACACTTTACAAGATCTTAAAATATTGATTCAAGGGGCCTGTTCTGCCACTTATTGTCTGGATCTTTTGTCTCTAAAATCTACCAAATAATTAGGCACCTAGACTCTGTGCTAGATAGTGTGGGGGATTATAAAAGATAAGGCACAGTCCTTGCTGCCTAGGATTGAATGAGCTAACACTGAGTATCTACTACATGTCTGGCATGGTATTTAATGCCCGTCCTCCTGTGAGGTGTGTTCTATAATCTCTTGAGGTAGGTGGGTGGTATTCTCCTTTTCCAAAAGAGAAAATGGAGACTTAGTTTGCCAGAATTTGGATTTGAACCTTATTTCTATCTGACTCAAAGCATTTGGATAGGTCCTTGAGAGGAATAATAAAATAATAACCATGGTGATGATAATACTTCATGGGAAAATACCTTAATAACATAACTGCCCTGCATCAGTACTCACATAGCAGTGATCAGAAATGCTGAGAATTGTTCACTGAAACACTGCTTTTCTTCATATTCACACTATGCATCCATTTTACTGGCTACTTAGTTAATAAATGTTTGAATACCTACAGTGTGCCAGAGATGTAGAAGTGTTCAGAGAGAATTAGGTGACTCCCTTTCTTAACCCTAAATTCTAGCAGGGAAGAGCTAAGTTAGCACATAATTGGAATAATTGTAAGTGGGGTGAAAGATATGTACAGTATGATGTGTTATTAAATAGGGATAGAAGAGAGCCACTTGAATGATCACGAAAGAACTGAGTAGATGGCATTCTGGTTGACAGCAGAAAGAGTCAGCTAAGAGACTGGCCATGGGGAATRTGTCTAGACATTATTAAACTTCTGCCAGATGATTGAGTAGTAAATTTGTTCATGAGAAAAATACTCCCTCCTCAGACTACCAACATCAACAAATATTTATTGAGTGTAAGTACGAAGCTCTGCTCTGTCATTCTAATCCTAAATAGGGGCCAGTAGGTGCTAACAGTCACAGAAGAGGGAAGGCACATTGAGGTAGAACATGAGACTGGTTTTGGAGGGGTTACTCAGAACACCAGTTTGTGCCCCTTCCTTTATGATGTCTGCACCTATCACCTGAGACTTTTGGGTYTTTGGTGCTTAGTGGGAAGCCAGGGGATTTAGGAACTGTGTACGCAAGCCACTTTAYCTATTTCCTAACTTGTAAAAGGAGGAGACAAATATTATGCCTGTTGGTTAGGCTTATTGTGACAATCAGAGGAGGTAATGTTTGCTTTGGTGATGTACGCACACAGGACTTTGTTAATAGGGATTCTAGATAAGGATGCTGTCTACCCATGTCCTTTGGTAAATCACTGGAATAGCTTGGTCAGCTAGGAGAAAGGAGGACATTCTAGAGGATGATAAAAATAGTGTCTTGCAGTCTTCATTGGAAAGAAGTCCCTTTTAAGATTAACTTAATTTCTTCCTGTCTAGGCTGGAAGCATGAGACCAGTTGCTCATCACTGTCTAAACCACATTGTTTCATCCACTTAAACTCTCTTAAGTCTTATAAGTCCTGTCTTAAATTTATAGCTCTTCCTCTAATATTTGCTACTGGGAAATTTTATGTGGTGGTTCAGAGGAAGGGTAGACTGTCACTTTTCCCTGTGTCCTGCTCCTCAGTTGGATTTCCGGAAGACTTTGAAATGGGAACATGTTTCAAGATACTGAGGTCCTCTTCCAGGGGGAATGCCCCTGGAAG